GAGCGCCAGTCGAATCTCGCGATCCTCCGGAGCCTCCTCGCGCTCCGCTGCAAGCTCCTCTTCCTCATCCACGCCGGTGCGGGACGGGGCTGTGACCACCTCCCCAAAAAACGTTGCCATCTGCGGTCCAAGCGAGCCGCGGGAGAGCTTCCGAAAAGTGCGTGTCCTTCCGGGTTAAACCAAGCGGCTCGATCTGCGGGGTCCGTCGGTAACCCAGCGAGCATGCTCCGAAGAAGTTGCGCTCGCTTCCAGTTCCGATTACTGTCTCGCTTTCAGTCTGTGGCAGCCTCGGCTCTTGCAGCGCCCGCCCCCACGTGGCCCAGAGCCGGTTTGTCAATATTTATACCACGTTAATTGCTTGGTCTTTAAATGCCGTGCGCTTCGGGGTGGTTGAGGGGTGTGTGTGAAGGTAGGGGAAGGGAATGGTCTCTCGCCTGCTTTCAGCGGGGGAGAAAAGCCTATTCTATCTGGGAGGGCTTTGGAATAAACTCCAGGATGGTGGGAAAGGTCGTCTCGGTAACGTACAGGGGCAGATAAAAGCGTACCCTTAGATCCGACTAGAAAAGAAGGAAATACATAAAATAAATAAAAATAATAAAATTTAAAAAGGACATAAGTTCTTTTTATAACAAGGAATGAAAGATGCAAGGTGCAATTCAGTGGGTTGGGTTGTATCAGCATAATATTTTCTTACTTTTTATTTCACATCTGTTGCTCTGTGTTCCCACTCTGCCCGATCTGGTGAGGTGGGCAGAAAACACTGGAGAGAGGTGGCTTCACCACTAATCTTGTCCCAAGTGACAGCCAGCACCTTGAATTGCACCCAGAAGCCTACTGGGAGCCAGTGTGGCTCACTACTAGCAGCATCACATGGGTGCACCACACGCTGCTGCACTCTGGGCCTGCTGGAGCTTCCAGATGCTCTTCAAGGGCAGTCCCATGTAGAGCGTGTTGCAATAGTCCCATCAGGAAGTGACTAAGGCATGAGTGACCTTGAGTAGGATCCAGCAATGGGCTGAACTGGCTTACAGGATACATTTGTGCAAAAGCTCTCCTGGCTATGGCTGCCACCAGCTCCTCAAGCAGGAGCTGGGAGTCCAAGAGAACCCACAGATTGCGCACCGACTCTGAGTGGGGGAGTGTAACCTCATTCAGGATTAATGATGGAAAGTCACTAGACCCAGGGGGCCCTAAAACCCACAGCCAGTCTTGATAGGGTTGAGCTGAAGCCAGTTCTTCCCCATCCAGACCAGTACAACTTCCAGGTGCTGGGAAAGCACGTTGGCATCATTGTGGGGCCAAAAAGTTCAACTGAGTATTATCATCATACTGATGATCCTTAAGCCTATGCCAGTGGATGACCTTACCCAGTAGTTGATGCAACAGAAGGCCTACTATGAACATACAAGACACAAATGCAAAAGGTGTTTATGTCGCACTATCTTGGCAGTTTATCTGCTTGGTGTTCTTCAAATCTGTTCTGGAATATCGGAAAAGAATTCCAGGTAGATTTTGGGAAGGAAAGGAAGAGGAGGAAAAGGATTCTTTGTGTAACGTGATGCGTTATTGGAAGAACAAAATGGATGCAAACTTGGATCTGACCCTCATGGCCAGCATTTATTTTTTAAAATTAACTTAGACCTGAACAACAGCCCCTACCAATATCATTGGTTGTTATCTGATATAAACTTCCTTCAAGGAAGTTAAGCATTAACTTAGATCACCACATTCTACTTGAAGCTCTTTTCAATAGAGAAAATGAACCTTTCATGTCCCAATCTGTGAAAGTACTTATTTGGTTTTACAGTGTTAAATGAGTCTAGCCTTTGTGGCTCATTCGCTAAACCATAATTTAGCAGACTATGAGTTAGTGCAGTGGGTGAACCTACTTTCATACAATGCAGACTACGGGGTACGGTTGCACAATACAGTGCTGCCAAACTTGGTGAAATCACTCCAATAGAACAGAATGTAAACTATCTGCCTGGGGTTGATATTTTGGCCACAGTGGCATGTGATCCCTAATTCCATTACTTCAATTATTACTAGTTGGAATAAAACAGACAGAAGGTTTGGAAGGTTTCTTTTTTATCTGGAAGCAGTCTTTGTGCTGGGTTTGCATAACATGGCTGCTAGAAAATAAAACCACTCGGTGAAAAGTTGAATTTGTTGCTAGATTCTAGCAGACAGCATCCATGTGATGTGCCTGGTATTTACCATTTGATTTTAAAGTGTCTCAAGAAATGTGTTGAGTAGAACATAAAGACATGCTCCATGTACAGTGATTCAGCCATAAGAAGTTGTAATGAAAATTATGTAATTTATTTCAATGTATCAAGCACAAATTGTCCCCTAACATGGGAACATCACAAAGAACATAGTTAAAAATCTGGAAACATTTACATTGAAAGTTAGCCCAGACTGGCAACACCACTAAATATTTTAAGGCTGTATACATACATACATACATATTTATATACAGTGTGTGTGTATGTGCGTGTGTGTGTGTGTGTAATATACTTACCACTTGGAACTACTTCAGGCCAGAAAAAGAAAAGCTTAGTACTGGCTGCATTTCTACATAAAATATTGCAAATCTTTTAAAAATGGTGTAAAAATAGGAAGACTATCAACAGATTTGGAGGATGCAGTGGCAAACTCTTACTGTTCCTGTAAATGTACCTAAGAGCACACAAGATTTGAAGGATGCCTTCAATCAGTCGGTCAGCCCTATAAAGGAGAGTGGGGTATTATGTAATACTAGCAATTGTCCTTGATAGAAAATGCGGGGAAACAGAACAAATTGGTTGCAAGTAATCACTTTAGAAGTATGTAGAAGCAGTGATTTGCAACTGCTCGCATATCTGTCTGTGTGCTTCAATAGATAAAAGGTCTCTGGGTGGCAAAACAGAATCCCAGTGAATCCCAGTACTTTAGGGGTTTTGTGACATACAAAATTACCTATAGACACAGTGCTTATATGCTCATCTCAGAATAATAATACAGTTTAGAGGCATTCTTTTCTACAACGCTTATTATTTCTTAATCAAATGTGTGTGTGTGTGTATTAGGGCTACCATACCTAGGCTGCAAAAGTCCTGGCTGCTTTCCAGCAAACATCTGGATTTTTGCAACCCAGATTAAAAAAACAAAACTGATACATAAGCAGGCCTATCTGGCTCACTGACAATAATTTAGGGCATCACTGGTCGCACCTTGAAGGCCTCCAATTTCCTAAAAGTGGCAGGCTATAAGAAATTGCACATATTTATGGAATGTGATGCACTATTTTTAGAGATTTGAGAAGTGAGAGCACACACCAGAAGACCCATGAAACTGCTGTCTATACCCATTGGCTTAATTTTCACATGGTTACTTAATGTATGCAAATTAACTGATTCTGGAAGACATTTCAATGGATGCAAAAATGTCCTCCCCCAACCACAGAAGAGATATAAAACAAGCCAGTGGGAACCATTTTACAAAAGAAGTAGATGCATACAGTGCTTCAAAGGGGGCACCAATACTGGCTGATCAATTTTAATTGCGTCAGAAAAATGGCAAGACATAGAAAACAAAATTGCACAATTCAAGCTACATTTGGCTTTAGCATTAAGGCCCATACAGGTAAAGAGGTCCTTGTGGATGTACATGGAAAAAGGCAATGACACTGATCTTAAGAACAAACCTATGCAGGTTCCCTGCTTAACCTGGCTCTCTCTTCCCTTCCACTCCTGGCTGTGTATTAAAGTGCTTGGTGCCTCAAAGGGCCCCTTGCAATTAAGTCTCCCCATTTCTGCAGCTCGTCACTTTTATTGCTGCCCGATGCAGTGTTTTATTTGAACACATAATTAATGAAGAGCTGACAAGTTAGAAAGATGCAGAGAAGAAACCAACAGCGAGAGTCCACAAGATTTTGGGGTGAGCCCCTCCTGTAGAAAGATTCCTTGCTCAGAGCAGTGAGGTTTCTGGAAGAAAAAGTCAAGCCATTATTATTCAAACAATCACCAGCTGTTACTGACAGATACAGATCCTACAGAAAAAGTGAAGCATCCGTGCAGAATTTAAAGCCTAGGCACATACTTCTTTTTTCTTAAAAAGGACCCAAAGTAATGTCAGACCTTCAACAGTAGCTCTCTTTGCAGAACTCTAACCTTTGCGGCAAAGCTGAGTAGACTGCCCCCCCCCCAGAGTACTTCTAAAAGCATGCTGCTTCTGTTTGATTGGGTACATATAATACGGTAAGTCCACCTGTGCCTTGTTTGTGGTTCACAGCTTGTGTGAACCCCTGCCAGGGTGAATTATAAACCAGAGTTTATGATTTTGTGTCAACTAGCTTCATTCCTAGCGCCCACAATGGAGCACCTGCTGTGAACATTTCTTTTGGTGTCTGCCAGGCCCTCTGCCTCACACTACTTTTTCATTTGAATTATTTTTTCAAAAAAACCAGATATGTTGTGTTTTTTTTTAAATAGGCAAGGTGGGTAGCTGTTGCCAGGGCTTTGTTTTTAAATGTCCACAAT